TTGACAAATAAATCATAATTATTGAGCTTGTACAATTATCAAAGCTTGTAGACTTGCATGAACTTACGGAAAGAATTTCGATGAGAATTGAAATAGTCCCATTCAACATTCTTAAAAAATTCCGAGGCGTATTGCCCAGTAATTCTGACCAGAATTCCATGGCCTACCGAGAAGATCTTCATTGTGTGAGTGACTAGATAATAGGATTTCGAGGATGTTTTGAGAAGAAATACATGGTTATTCTGAGAACCACTCCATTGGGATTATTGGGTAAAATCCAGGAAAATTTCACTGGAAATGTTTACAATTTCAAAGTAACTGTGAGGAGTATTCAAATGTAAATCTGATTATGATTTCATAACAAAAATACTGCCGATTTCATGAACAGAATTCCAAAGGAATTAGGTCATATATTCCGATGGAGTTCAACCATAGCAATGCTAAAGGTCGTTCGTCAATTCAATTTTTCCACAAAGGTATTTTCAGCTATTTTTGACTCTCAGTTCCAAAAAAGTATTTACACGCTACGAAAATGTCATGTGAATTTTGCTGTCATGAGACCGACGCATGCAAGCGCCTTAGGGCTTAAGGTGTTTCGCTGTGAGATCCTTATTCTTGTAACCACTTCGAAACTTTGAGTGCACAGATATTAGCTTCTACGATACGTACCACAATGAAAGAGTTACTCCACGTTTGCTGTACTGCAGCATACATGAAGTAGCAATTTCAGGTGAAATGGGGCATTCTTTTCGGAGATGTGTGTAATTGAAAATTCGAAGTGGAAGTGCATTAAGAATAAGTTGAAAAAGACGAGCAAATCAATTAATCCTGATGAATGTGGACGTCCATTTAATTTCACCGCCTTATTTGCTTATTCTTGACAAATTTCATCTACAATGTGCAGACTTCATCACTGTCTTGTATTAATACTTGACTGAAGAAACCATCACAACTTTCCGAATATATATTAACCTAGGTAAATTTTCACATTGGAGTAATTCTCGATGGAAACAAGCCGCCATTGACAAATCGTCCTTGAATACTTAAACATATCCGCAATTCTTGAAAGATTAATCATGTTAAATTTTCATAAGGAACCCTCCAGCAATCAACATGTTATTATGAAGAAAGAGGATAGGGCTTTCATTCAAAATTAAATTTTGTTGGCCGCCATGTTGGATTTTATCAGAAAAAAACGTATTTTCCACTACACCCAACCGGGGGATGTAAGATTCGCTTACAATTATGTGGAATTCATCATCAGAGGATGTTAGTGTAGACCGCAAGAAAATTGGAGACCGAAAAATAAGTTATGTCGAAAAAAAAAATAGGAAACAGATTGCCGACTGGACTCGAACCAAGAACGTTGCGATTATCAGACCTGTTCCTTTTCCACTGCTCTCTCCATGTTTCTGAATATAGATAGCCTAAAAGCAAACATGAAGCGCTCATTTTCTCGCATATTCGACTTCGTATGCTTTTTCTGCTGGAGAGATTCGAGACAAGTGTGTGCGTCGTTCTTCAATGTTCTACAATGTGCGTCGTTCTACAAGCTTACTGGTATAGTCGAAAGCGTAGATAGAACACGAAATAAAAAAGACAAAAAAACCATTACATCGCCTGCATGGTCAATTTCTAACATTCGTTGCGATGTTTATGAACAGAGGATGATAGGAAACGGATCTAACTTTCATTGCAATAGATTTTTGGTTTGCGTGTATGTTTGCAACCACTGCTTATGATTCTGAGGTCACCATCTGAAAGCTGAGAAAAGAACTATATCAGATACTCTCAACAGATTAGGTGAGCTATCTCATTAACACTATGAAACAACCGATTTGACGATGATGTTTTGATTAGTGTTAATGTCATTTCTCACCTAATATATTGAATGTATCTGATAGCTTTTTTTTTCAGCTTACAGATGGTGACATCATAATCAAAATCGGTGGTAGCAAACAAAGTAAAAAGTACGTTTTTTTCTGATAAAATCCAACATGGTTGCCAAATTCCAGATGGCCACCAAAAAATGCCATGTCTAATAAAACCACTATTCTTCCTCTTCAAAATAACGTGTTGTTCGCATGAGGGTTCCATATGAAATTTAAAAGATATAACATAATAAATATGTCAAGAATTGCTAGAACTTCAACTTTTAAACTTCGTCTCCTGAATTACTGAACTTAAGCTGGTCACATTCACAGATTCACAGTGAATTATATTCTAATGTTGATTCCGTGTTAGACTTGGCTTAAATATGGACGTATGTTATTAAAAACCATGCCATTTGATACCATGAATTGATAAGATATGCTTAACATTTTTCTGTTGGCCCTTTTCAAAATTAAGGCTCGATTTAAAATGGTGATGTGAAGATGCAAAATAGCATTTTTGGACATGAGGAACGATTCTGAAATTTTCATCCAAATAAATATGTATGAAAATTAATGGATTTGTGAATTCGTCTGCATTCGCTCAATACTGAATACAAATGTTTTAAGACCGTCATACCATAATACCATCAAAAACACAAAAATGTATTAACATTACTTCAAAAAGCTTTAAAACTAAATTATTACCTGAACCTCAATAGTAAAATTACATTGAAGCGTTTAAACTAAAGCATTACGTCAAAATAACTTAAAAAAATGCTGATCAAGTTAAACACATAGAACGATAAAATTGCCCGAAATGAGCTAAAAATAATTTGAAATAACAGATTAAAGTGGTAATTTTTATACGATAGATGAGAAAGATGAAAGTATAGAGTTGATAGTTCGGTTAGAGTACGATAGTGTGAAAATTGTAAAAAGAGAGTAGAAAGCGAGCAAGGACAACGTTTAGGAAGGTACAAATCGGTTTGATCATCTCTCTTTACCAAACTCCCCCCTTGGAGAGGGATGCTCGCCATCACTGGCAAAAAGAGATGATCTCCGACTTGCTCAAGCTGTTATCTGAAGGCAGGCATCCAGTCGTAGGTTTAGAAATTGCAGCTATTCTTACCTCTACCACGATATGTGCTCTAACGGCACTATCAACTCTATTCTTTCATCTCCATATCTATCGTATAAAAATTACCACTTTAGTCTGTTATTTGAAATTAGCATCTTCAACTATGTAAATTGTCAACTTCTAGCAGGAGTAATGCAAACAAATAGTTAAAGAACAAACTATTGTTGAAACTAAAGATGACCAAATCACAGAAATGGTCTTTAAATGCTGAAATGGTTATTAAAAATAATAAACCATTCTGAAAACTCTCAAAATAGTATGAAAACGCCAAAATAACATCAAAACCGTTAAAACGCCAAAAAATGGCAAAACAATCACTGAATTATACTAGAATTACGAAAACGGTTTAAACTAGTAAAAATGGCCAAGAATACCTTTAAAACCGCCGAAAAAAGGCAATGAAACCCCTTAGCCGACCAAAAAGCTCTTATAATAATAAAAAAAACGACAACTCTCATACAAAATCTGAAACGTCATAAATACGCTAAAAATAGCCCAATTTAGCCAAAATCCAAACTTTCTAAACTTTTAAAATGCCAAAATGACACTTATGACTCCAAAATGTCCGGAAATCAAAAAAAAAAAATATTCCTGAAATTAAATGATTGAACAAACCTTAAACCACCAAAGAACTGAACCTATTAATAGTAAAAATTGACATTGCAAATTTTGAAATGAGGAAAAATATTCCGCTTAGAGATTCAAATAATAAGTATTAGAAAATGTAAATGCTTCTGACCAATTTGTCTGAATTTCCCACCCCCCGAGCATCTAGACAGCAAACCTTAGTTTCACGTACCCACTTGCAAATTGTAGATGTCTCCACCGTACGTAAACAATGGGGTCAGCCATCGTTGGTGGCACAACTTTTTTCACATCAGAAAACATGTTTTTGTTTCACTTCATGTGGACGTCGAAAGCAAACCAAGAATAAATTTTGAGTGAGACGTATTACTGGTGTTGTATTGTATCTTGGAATTCAATCGATTTAATTATATCAAAATTTATCATCATCGCTTGCACTTTTTATGGTTATTTCCTATGTGGGCACTGGGCAGTAACCCGATTAAAGGGTTTCGTTTATTTCGGTTGTGTGGTTGCCGACAAACATCACTTAGTTCCAGGATTTTAGGGTCTTGTTCCGTCCATATATCCGGAACCAGTTAATCGATTGAAAGTCTATTAATTAACATTCTATAGAATCATGGTAGCTTTCATTTGGTTGTTGTTGCATTCAATTCGGTAGAGTGGTTGCCGAGAAATACATATAAGAAAATTGTCTTACGCGCTCTCTCACACACATAAATAGACAGACATTTTCCGATCCCGTCATGCTGAGTCGATTGGAAGACTATTAGAAAAAAATATCAATGTTTTTATAAAAAGTTAAAAAAAAAACAAAAAACTTAAAAACGGGGAAAAAAAGTTGATAAAAATATAAGACCAATTGTAAATATACTCCACCATTATTCGATTTGACAGAACCAGAGTACCAGAATTTTCGGGGTACATTAGCATTACACTGGAGCTGTTTAGTTGCTCCCGGGGTGGAATTTCCACGACCCATAGATTGAGAAACACTGCGGTAGGGACATTAGACAAAATAGCTCCAACTATAAAATCCAAACAAAACTTTGACCTCTGATGATCACAAGTGCTCCACTTGTCCACCACAATAAGAGATTGTAAATCACTCCAACCACAAATCACTAGAGCTGGGTCAGTGCGCCCACAGCAAAGCGAAGGAATTCTCTCCAACTGAAACGATGTAACAACAACATTCCCCCAAAGGGTATAATACCTTCACACATCAATCTGCATCGCAAACTCCTCCACGTGCATCGTCCTACCTAACATGATAATCACTGTTGCCGGTGTCCAGTTTAACAGCTCACAGCAGCTTCCAAAATGCATCCTTATACCGTCGTCGTCCTCGGCGCTGGCCATCATCGATTCAAATTTCTCATTTTCTCATTGCTCGCCAACAGGACCAACACTAGCCTGCGGTGGCACATCGTTGCTGAAAACGACCACACTGATCTCGCCGGCGCAGATTGGCACTAATGGCGCCGCCACGAGCTGTACCTACAACATACGTGCCATTAATTTGCGCGTCTGTCAGGTAGGTGGTGATGGTCCTTTAAACGGCTCCGAATCTCGGTGCGAATCGCCTTTCGGAGACTGTGGCTTCTGTTCTGTGACGACGAACGCGATATTTCAAATCTAAATTCAACAGAGCCTCTCGCACCCTGCCGCACAACCGGCCTGGTTCGCCGTTCCTCGTCACAGAGAGCACAATTTTGAATCTCCAGTTGATTGACCTTTCTCACGCGCTTGTGTATGTGTCATCATTTTTCCGCCCACAGCTACGCTTGGATTTCAACTCGTTCAACCTGGCACCACCGACGGTCAGCCCATTCCCGGCTTGCAACATCGACACACTTTCGATTGCGAATTTAGATTTCAATTTGTGCGGTGAAAACAGCGGACAGCACAGTAAGTTATTAGATCCGAAAGCCTGGGGGGCTAAATTGGATTTGCGGCTAAACGAAAATCTCACTCGCTCTCTCTCTCTCTCTCTTATGCTTGCTTGCCTTTTTGCAGTTTATGTCCCGTTTAGTCCAACGCTGGCAAACATGACATTGGCCATTAACTTCAATATAGGTTCACGGATTCCGGGCCAGGTTGGACCCTACTGGAACGTTCGCGTACAACAGCTCGAGTGCCCGGTGGGGGCTGCATTTGCTTCGAAGACCGCGATCCGCACGGAATCACTGGTGAAGACCTTCCACAACGATTTGAGTGAACTTGCCCCGACGGGTTGCCTCCAGTATCACACCACCTCGACCGGAATCATCAAATCATTCAACTTCAACAATGGAGGCCCGTACATTGGAAACATGAACTATGCCATATGCTTTCGAAGGACTCGTGTCAACTCGGCACTGAAACTGTTTGCCGATGTGTTTGACCTTGCTGCCGGTGATGCTACTGGATACGACAGCTCGTGCTACTCGAACATTGAAACCCCCGGTCGATCGGAAGACTATCTGCACATTCCGGAGGCGATTGCTCAGATGGATCAACCCGTACGGGCAAATCGATTCTGCGGCCAGAGCATTCATCAGAAATCGGTGGAAAGTAGGTTGCTCTATGGTTCGGCTAATGGATTGTAGATTTAAAATGATTCTTTTGTTACAGCCTCTTCGCCAGGACCGTTTGTTTTGTACTTCAACAGCGATTCCACCTACGGTGCCAATGGGGCAACTGAAACCGGCTTCCAACTTTCCTACCAGATAGTATGAACGCATACCCATTTAAGTGTTTTCTGTTAGGACAAGTTTCGTCCAAAAAATACCTTCGAGACACTGTTGATTTTAATAATAACATGAATTTGGCAAGCTGAAAGATAGACGAATTTTACACCTTATTTGTTACGTTCTATTACCATGTACCTGCGTCGAATGAGGAAGTCATTAAAATCAGCAGCGGCCGAGCTGAATCTTCGAATAACATTGTATCTTTTGACTAGTACTAGCTAACTTATTCGTAGTATGTAATTGTAATTGTAATAATGCAATTTACTCCCTTCAATTGTTGTTATACACCATCGTGGCTAACGTTAACAGGTAATCGATAACTGTTTGCACTTTTAAAATCAAATATAAAATAATTGTATTTTAAGCTTCATGCATTTGACTAAACTGACATGTGTACATAATCATTAGGCAGATATTCTTGAATTTAATGTCTACAATATGACCGAAGATATTTAAGTAAGGTAAGCGGCTTTCTCAGTTTTGAAGTGAATCGAAGCAAACAATTACCACCTCATAAGAAGGGCTACTTCCATACATTTTGGAAAACAAAATCAATCCTGACAATTTTTAGAGCAAAGATAATCATAGTGATACCTCCGAAAAAAAAAAAAATGCTTAAGTTCACTCAAGCTGCACTGTCAAACATTGTACAGATTTTGTGTACAGGGCAGGTCATTAAGGTTGTTTTACCTGGGGCTGGTTCTTCCTCCTTGCGTGGAAAATGGAAACTGGAGGATCCTTTCCGTTCGGCTTGGGAGAAAAGATTCTTGGGTTCTCTTCTGATGTGATAAGTTGATAATTTTTCAGATCTCTTCACAATCACAATTCACAACTATGCAGTTAATTTATTCTCATTGAAAACAGTTTATTTGAATTACTACGCTAACATATAACATTCATTTTAAATTAACTAAAAACTACTACAATTTAAGACCGGTTCGGTGACCGTCTGTTCATCGAGCTAGCTTTCTGGTAGCTGTTCTACTATTTCAAATGAAACCTAAATCTATGCCTTCTCGGTTCTTGACCTATCACAAAAGTACATATGCAATTCGTTTCACACGATCGTCTCTTCGACTGTTGTAGTTGTGGAATCGTGTTCACACTTCAGATCGTCCAGACGGAGACAGTACAACACGCTCTTTAATCCCATGAAGAATTCGTTTGTAGATTTAGATGTTGTACGCGCGGTTGGGCGATTTGAATTTTCGTAGTACTCTTTTACAAAAGTTAATGCGCCTTTAACCACATCCTTTAAATTGGATTTTCTCCGCTGTTTATTTTGACGAGTAAAAAAATAGGAAAATATATTTCGTCATATTTTTATAACAGTATAAAAAACCAACCATCACACCGGTCCAGAAGTCGATAACGAAGAGTTCAAGCAAAGAGTCAAGAAGGAGCTCCAAAAACAAACTCCCCCACTGAACCCCCGACGTTCTTTCGTTTGCGACGACGTCACGGACAAGCGACCCATAAGTGGTGATCCTAGAGACTCCTTTAATCACAGATACAGACAGGAAATTCCCCAGATTAAAAGTAATCACCATGGATCAAGGTGTACTCAAGGAGAGGCAACATGTTATTTCAGTGGAAAAGTATCATCAGTACGAGGTGGAGGAAGCGGTCAAGGGTGAATACCATTCTGATTCAAGCAAGAAAGATGGACCAGCAGAGCCATGCAATTTCATCCGGTTGACATTGCTCATGGATTCATTTGATGAGTTCCTATTTATTAATTCACTTGTGATGATGATCGTCAACAGCGTTGAACAGCCAGAAACAGTTGCAGAATTAGGTGAGAGCTTTCCATTTATTTGATTTAAATACTTGTAAATTTAACTGCAAACACATAGACAAACAAATATCATTTTATGTTCTGTTTATAGTCACCTGTGTACGCTACAATCAGTATTAATTTCCCCACATTCAATATCCCAGTAGTTTCTCGTGGAAGCGCAGAGGACTTCTAGGTTTCGTTCACAGCGAGTGTCATGTCAACACATTCCTTCCCACTCCCTATTTGACCTGCATTCGGACACGGCCGGCGCTGGTATTGCTAAGTATTAGATCTGCTGTTTTTACACATTGCGGATGAATGTTAGTCCCAAACATCATCTGTTGGTTCTTTGTGTAAATGCAGCTGATCTGGCGATAACAGAGCAGCAGCCGTAGGCGGTTAATCATGCTCATGCAAGTAGTCGCTTACCCAGTGCTTCCAAATCAGGTTGGCTTGGATTAGAGATAATTGCCATCATTGCCACAGCACGGTGACGCCATTATCGTGGGTGCAGAGTGAATTGACACTATTGAATGACCCAAGGAAGAAGTGATTCTGCTAGCGTACTAATCAAATTCCAGTTCAACATGGTCAAATAACCCTGTATCAAAGGAATTCAGAAGTATATTATTTTGTAAGGATCCGTAGGACACATCGGAGTAAATGAAAACGAAGAAACAGCATATTATGCAGCCTAGCAAGCTGCTACACCTGGGAGGTCCCTGCCCTGGATCTACATCATTGGCTCGTAACCACAATATTAAACTGCTGAAAAAGCGGAATGCTTACAGTCAGGAAAGCATTTCTTCCGGAGGATTAAGGGGGATACCAGGGATGGAAGACCCACCATTATTGAGGCGGATTGGCGTACACAAGTTCCACATGTCCAGATGTCAACAGGTGCTATTAAGCCGAATGAACCTAGGCCCAATGGGTCACTAGGTCAAATGAGTAATTTAACTGAATTTTAAATTTGTGTCAAACTGCATAAGTGATTTTCAAATTTGCATGGTGAAGAGCATATTCCGAATTGACTTGATAATAGTGACAAGAATCGGGTAGTGACTACCGCCGTTATGAATTTCTATATTGTATATTTCAAATCAAAAATATTGTTTATGTTCACAGATTTCACATAATCCTTTCCTCTTTGTCCTTCTCCTTTTCCTTTTCCTTTTCTCTTTTCAGAAAGCGAGTAATGGCGCTATAGCCATAAGTCATAAAAGGCTAGGACAAGAGTTAGTGCTCATGCCTCAACCGTCAGAAGAAAATGGAGCATCACTTAACCTTTCTAGCTTTGATGCTTCCAACGACCAATAATATAATTACCAAAATCGGAACGTACGGTACGAGATGTCCACGTTTCATCCATTTATGGGATTCTGAAGCATCGTGTTTAAATCTTCGATTTAAACAGGCCCGATGTTTTCTGAATCATCTTGCCCCTTGAATACTGCACAGTAGGCCTGGCCGTTTTGATATGTGTGACAAGAAAAATGATGTAGGTATATATATCATTTTCCAGGATGCTTTCAAGAACTGGCTGTGTTGGTGTTAGATTAGGTTAGATTAGATTAAGGTTCAATTTACTTTGATGCTTTTAAGAAAATTTCAAAAGCAGTTTTTTCGACGCATTATTTCAGATTGCAAAAAGCTTGCACTATTCGATTTCTTTTGATATTTTATACAAAATGACGCGAGCTTTTTCCAATCTAAAATAATGCGTCGAAAAAAACTGCCTTTGAATTTTTAAAAAATGCATCAAAGTAATTTGAACCTTAACCACATCCTTCAAATTGTTTTCTTGGCTACTGTGTCCATTTAAGATTTTTTTCCTTGATTTGTTTTAAGTTCAGCTGAATCTAATTAAGACACGACCGTAGATTTGACGTAGGATTACGAAAGGTAGTTTTGATGTCACAGCAAAACTATACTAAATATTAAATTGATTTCTTAACTCGTTATCAGCGAAAGAGTTCGATAGGTTGACGATCCCGAGTCATTTTGTTAGTCACTATAAATAACCCAGGTTGCTTGGTTATTCATTAGTATGCCTCTTTTCACACCTACTCGATAGCAGTCTCGTGGTTTCACAAAATCGCCATTTCAAATTCTGAAAAGTGACAAGTTTCAATGCAAGTATTTATTTCGGTTAAGGGTCACGTGGGGGGCGGTCTGGTTTCTTCACCATTTTATTGAATTTTCTTGTACTTTCAATAGCTCAAAGAATGGCTTGCTTGTTTAGAAGTTATTGGTATTGGAAGTTGGGTAATTTTCAACCAAAAAATGTAAATAACTTTTCAAATATTAATTATAGCAAGGCAGAAGACTTCAATTCTAAAAAGATATGTAATTTAATATTTCTAACATCTTTGTAGAACATGCCAGACATGCGTGCGTGCGTGCGTATTCCCTCTAACCCCCACTGACCGGCAATGGTATTATGGAAGAACTCTCTCTACAATGTCGCATTTATGGTCATTGTAGACAGCTTTAGTCCGGGAGTTAGAAAGTGATAGCTCTATTGTAGATCCAGCAACCCATTTCAGAATTTCTGGAGAGTCATGCCCAATCCGAGGTTACTTTCACTTACAATAAGCCCCGCATGTATGTATTACCTCTATCAATTGGATATTAGTATTACACACACACTTCCAATTTAAAATGTTCTTTTGAATCCTGGCACGCATTTAGTTTAAGTTTTTTTTTTTTAGTATTAAAAGTATTTGGACTGGTCTCACCATGTTAATGGGTTCCGTAGTTTTCTCTACGGTTTTGCATCTCATTTCGTGATTCACCTTTGTCGTAATAATTCCTTCAAGGAACACAATTTGTCTTGCATTGCCATGGTTATCTGGGAGGAGGTTCACGTCTAGTGCTTTCCCTAGGAACCTTTCGCGGTCACCAGCTACCCTTTCGCGAGGTATTTTTCATATTGCTCGCAATCTTCGATACCGGCGAGAGACCAGCAGCCGAGCACTTTTGCAAGCGGAAAACGGCAACGTTGGCCATCGAATCACCACCAAAACTCGCAACGGACACATTATCAGCACGTTTCCAGGCTAATTCACCAACCAAGCCGGGTTCAAACTCGCCCACGGTGACGAATCTCTCAATAGAACAGAACTACACGTCGAAAATGTGGCATCCGAACTTGGAGAACCGGGTTCCCGGGAGGCAATTTTCGACATCGAACAATGAAACTGAAGCTGCGTCTTAGATTTTGGAGGTTAGATTCAAGGTCAACCGAGTCTTGCAAGGCAAACACAGGCAAAACACGATATATCACTAAATAATAACTTTATGAACACTTGAATCTAACTTCCAGCACACAAATTAACAAACTTAAAGCAAAAAATATTTAATTCGCTGACGAAAAATACACAACAAAAGAAAAACACGTCAGCTTTCAA